AACGTCTACAAAACCCAAGTTTAGCACATTTCATATAAATCATTATATTCACAGGAGAAGTGGATGGACAACTCCAGATGGCGGGACACAGTTCAGGTTCTAACTAGTAGATGTCTACTAAGCTTTTCTCATTGCTACCAAGTTCCCAACTTTCGCAAACTTATGGCTCCATCAGAGAGACACCACCCAAACAAAACAAAGATTTAGTTTGGACCAAAACAACAGAATAGCATGTGTGAAGGGAAGCCAAAATAATCTATAGCACACTTGAAAGATAACAAATCAAAAGCAGGAGTTTATCAATAACGTCAAACACTCAGCTGATTAGGATAAACAATCTCTTCCAACAGGCAGCTCATTAACTGATGTGCAGAAATAGGAGAAAACTGTAAAGAACGAAGAGAAGGAAGAGTCTCTAGCCCATCTCTCCCAAGGCAACACTACCTAATGCCTTTGTACACACTGTCAGTGATATCTCCCTTGAAACATTATGCCAAGCTTACTTCTCCACGTGCAAAAAAAGATTAATTCAAACTGGAAACCTGGTTTAGAAGAGGACTTGTCTGGTTTCACCAGGCAAGATTAGAGGTTGCAAGAGTTTGGTTGCTCTATACATATCATTGAAGCAAACACCACAGAAGAAGCAGAAGAGATATTCAAGTCAAAAGAGAACACTGGCATAACAGTTAAAGCTTTTGAGCTTATCATTAATAAGCCAGCTGTAAATCAAAGATCAGGGTTTGGATACAGCCACTAAGAGCAACTTAATACTTCAAGTGCATTGAGATGAGTTTTGGTGAGTACAGGAAAGGAACTATATAATCCTTTCCTGCAAGGACAGGAAGCAAGGCATTATGTGGGATATAATTTCTATGTTATCCTCCATATTTCTACGAAGTTCCAATGGCCATAGTGCACATGCCCATTAACTCTGTGAAGAGAATCTCCTTTTCTGCTTCCCTGTCATTTTGACTGGCATTAAAAATCAGGACAAAACACACAAAAATTGTGGGGAAAAAAAGCATAATGTGAAATTTAGTAGCTCTTTTTAAAAAAAAAAAAAAAAAAAAAAAAAAGATTATGGGTTAGGCCTATGTGGTCCATCACTGTGACGAAGTTTAGACAAAAACAGATGAACATTTCTGTGTCACATAATTAACAGATTTATTTCTTCCTCTCTAAAACACAAAGTCAATATGTCACCACTATTTATGAATGAGCTGAACATTTAGGGCAGCTTTTTAATAGCCTGGAAAATTCAAAAACCCACTTAGAAAAAATCACTTAAAAGTTCTTTCTTAGTGAAATGTCTAAATGACAGATGGAGTTTTAACACATTTCGTGACACCAAATGAGGCTCTATGTGCAGCCATGCATTAACAAGCAATTATTTCAAGAAGTTCTAGTTTACATTACCAAAAAAACATTTATTATAAATATTCTAGTATTAGCTGTACATTCTTCCCTAACAGAACAAACCACCAAGGGACAGCTCAATAACTCTACCTCCAAATGTCAAGTTGCAAGTTGAGCAAGAGCTAGGATTCCTAATATGAAAATCTGTTAGATATATATCGTATATATTTATATATTATATAAATGAATTCTAGAAAAAATGCTTTGAAATTACTGTTCATTCTTTCACTTTCATAGTTCTCGCACTCTGAGGTTTAAAACCTTTGAATATCTGTGCTTTACTATCATCTTACTTTGCCCTTGCCCAAGGATACAAAACCACCACTTGAAGCAGGCAAAATATGAGGCCACGAGAAGCTGCCCTGACTAGGCCTGTCCTCAGCCAACAGCAAGGGAACTTGTCACTAAATTAACGAGTGCAAGTGGCGGGGCAAACCTGTGGGCAGCACGAACTGTTTCCTTCCTTCACCTGTGAATTTCTGAATTCATCTGTATGTCTATAGATGCTCTTTAGAACCAAGACTCCTTACTTAGGATATTAAAATTAACTAGAGGGTGACATTTTAAGTCCAAGGGAGGTTTGCAAAGAATGACTTAAGCATGAGCTTTTATCAGACGAAGAAACTAAAAAAGGGCGCATTACATTCTAGATACTATTTTATGTTCAAATTAAGAGTGCAAAGTAGAAGTAGCATAAGGATTTAGGATAGTGCTTACTGCTGTATGTTCACCAGATTTATATAGGTATGCAGATGGCAAGAACCTTAATGAGGACTCTGCATTAGTTTTGCATCATCTTTCTACCAGCAGATCGAAACAGTATTAGTCTGAGAGCATTCAATTCACTTCCATAAAAGTGGACAAATATTGGCAAAAAAAGGAAATCTGTTTGAGGAGTTTCTCTTCTCATCTGCATGTGTAACAATGCACACCAGCAACATCATAAAGTCACATGAAAGAAGCAACTGTTAATCTCACAGTCACATAGAAAGTTCTTAACAATAATGATGAGGTCAAATTTGCCTACCACTGGACAAAATTATTAAACTTGATATTAAATTAATATCAAAGTAGGAAACAGATCCCCTGCAGCCTGCTTTTCTTACTTCTGTTTTGCGAGTAGTGGTATCATTCATGAGCATGAAAAAAGTCACATCCTTAATAGATACAAAATAAGACTACCAAAAATCTGTAAGTCAAGCAAAAAAATCTTGTACCTCCAATAATAAAACCTTCCAGTCAAGCCTTCCCATCCTACCTGTTTTACCATAAACACATTCCTTGAACCAAAAATCTCCAAAATGCACAGGCCAAAGTTAAAACACCTTTTTACAGAAAATAACCTTCATTACTTGTATTAAGCCAACTTAAGTGACCTTCCAGAGCCAAGGTAAAGACGACAAGAAATAGCAGGTACAAAATCTCTGTGCAGCATAATTTAAGAAAAAAGACTCTTAGCTTACCGTTACAGACTTCAAAGTCATTCCATGATAGGTGCCCATGGTATCAATCTTAAAGCCTTCCGTTTCTGGAAAGAAAAAAGGGCTCTTGTAAATTATTTTGAACATAGGGACATTATGTCTAAATTGACATCAACAGAAATGTCTTTCAAGTAATTTTTGTAAGGAACAGGTCTTGCTGCTGGTAAGGTTTTAGTTTCTGTTCACACTACAAAACCTGGCTACTATTATGGAATCTGTGGAATGTGGAACTATGGAATAATTATGGAATCGAAGGCAGTATTTCTACTCCCTACAACCAAAGCAAGCATTCCCTGCCACACACACCACTCAAAATGACCAGGGAGAAAGGACATAAATTGAAATCTTCACTAGAAGGTATTGCAGCAGACAAGCCCAGAAATGCTATTCTTAAAAGATGGAAAAAATTCGCATTCCCAGAATGCATTATAATACAACATATTAACTTGTAGCTATATGCATGCACAAATATGCTCAATAAGAAACTGCTTAATAGACTAAAAAAGTAGGGTTATTAAGGCAAATCCACTACTAAGGTGTAGAAGTACTAAGGTGTGGAAGCAACAATATCATTGCCACATGATACATAACACAGAACATGCATAAATTCATGATACGAGACCAAAATTACTTAAAGATTTTCTCCCCCACTCCACCAAACAGTTTTACAGATCTTGAATTCATGCCAAGTTAAATGCCACATGTCTGTAAATGCCCAGGGACTAAACCTGCCTCTAAGAGCTTTTTTTGCTTTTCCATAAGCCCTTCTGTATCCCCAGGTAAAGGATATAGTGCAGAAATGATTATTGGGAATACGAAGATTAGCGTCATTTATATCATCACCTTCACACAATGCTCTAGCACAAAAGCACTGAACACCAAAAATAATGCTTTTTCTTGAACATACAAGTCCAAGAAAAATAACAGATGCTTTAAGACTATTAGAGTTTCTTACTCCTATCAAGAGTAAATTAACTTAAATTGAAGCTCAGACAATTTGAAAACAATGCAGATGCTCTGTGAAGACTCTACGGCTGCTCCTTCTTTCTTTCTTAAATGAGGAAGATTATCAGCCAGTTGTAGGAAATGAGGCAGAGAAGTTTTCCAGATTTTATGACTCTCTAAGGCCTAGAGAAAAGCTGCTGAAGGTGAAGAGCCTGGAGTTATGGGCCATGTTTTGCTTTACGTACACTATCCTCCATGTCACAAGCCATTTCTTGACCTCAGTGTGTGAAGACATCTCAAGTTCAGCTGTTCCATATCTCAGATTCTCAAGGTCTCCCTTCTCCCAGGCTTAACATGTCTGAGGTACAGAATCAATTCTGAGAGCTCAAATGCAGGTACAGTCATGAATGCAGTCTTTACTTAAAGAAAAATGTTTATGAAATCCAGCTTCTCTTTTTAAAATTGGTATCGTCTGTCCCTGCCACTCCCAAGATGTAATTATGCATGGAGAGTCTCAGCTCGGGGTTTACAAAACTGAACTTTAAGGTAGTAAAGTTGCATTCAACCAACATTTCCATGGACAACAGTCTTCTCAACTATATAGGTCACCGTCGCTGAGCAAGAAACATATTAATATTTCAGGTGCTGCCTGGGGGCTTACAGAATACTTGGCGGAGCTCTCCTAACTTGAAGAGATGCTTTTGCTGACCTGGAGTGACATAAAACAGAGACGAATAATCTAGGATGACAGTTGCCTGTGAATTGCAGAAGGTCAGCAGCAGAGGAATCTTGCCCCTTCCGTTCCAGACTGCCCTATTATGGGTTCTTCCTTCTTGTGACATACCGAATTTCCAACTACCTCAATCAGAAGTTCTCCCAAAGCCCCAGTGCATAGACACACCTGAACAAAATCAGCAGGTGCCTTTGCCCCCATCATGCCTGACCTATTAAAGTTCCTTTTCCCCCACCCCAAGCACAAATCCCAGTTCTATTAATAGCTCTGCACATTTGTTTCGAGTTTAGGTTTTTATTTCTTCCCCTTGGTCTCTTCCATTTTGTGCCTATTAAAGCTTTGCATTCCCCCACCTCCACCACTGAAGTCTCCATTAGTCCTGCAAAGGTAGTCAAGGTACTCGCATCTTGGTCATGAGAGAAGAGCCAGTGGCACAGGTAGGAAGTGCAGAAAGGCACTAACGGGGCACAAACCTTTGCTCTACCACCAGCTGCTCCATCTTTGCTCAAAAAGAGATGAGTGCCTGGTAAAATTTGTCCCAGTTCTATTCAAGGAGGCACAAGAGCCACTAAACACAGCTCTGGCCATCACCAGCTTCCTGCTCCCAACATTCTGCCGTGTCTTCCTCCTAGCAAGCAAGACGGGAGATGCAACGGGCTCCTTCCTTCCCTCCCTCCCCTCAACTCGGCTCCAACCTCCGCTGCTGAGTCACGCAGCAGCGCAGACCTCAAACACTCACCACCCGCTACGAATCTGTGTGCAGCTCCCCAAGTGTGATCTCAAAATCACGGTTTCGCTCATAGTAACAGAGGAAGCAGCTGAAATCAGCCAGCTACTAAAGGAACAGATATTGAAGATGAAAAAGAGACCTTAAATAAATATGCAAATCATAATGATGGCAAGACTTAGGATCTTTGTTTTCAAACTTGGAATTAGATATGGAACAACTGCTTAAAAAGGAAACTTGAGAGTCTTGAATAGATTGGGATTTTTCAGTAAACTTACAAAGCAGGCTGTACTGCACACCTTTTATTTTTAGGCAAAAAGCAGTTCATACTAAATATTTTACATGCAAGTCTAACACTGAAGAATAAATAATGCAAGCAAAATCCAACAGTAATGCACTGTGTCAAACTGCATTCCAACTTTGTTTGCCAGATGTAATCAGTTTTATAAAAAACATATTATTAAAATCATCTTGCACTAGAAAAGCATTTAAAAACTACATCATTATGGACTAAACCCAGTACCTACTATTGAATAATTAATTCTAACACTTCGAAATATAAAGTAGTCAGTTAATAGTAAAACTGTCTTTACTCATGCAGTCATTGCATGTATTGCAAACACGATTTCACAGTCCACAATTACCCAAAAGTTGTCAAAAGAATCAGGTACATTTTTGATGTGGTTCATCACCAGTTACCTTTCTGGCATCACAATATAGCAACCCGAACATCTCCTCTCCTTCCAAAGAACTAGACCTGGACATGAAACTAGGCACACCAAAGCATCAGCTTATTGGACCAGTTATATTCTCCAGTGCGCAGACAGACCTTACATACCCTTTCCTGAGTATTAATACTCAGAAGTACCTTCTCTTTGCTTAAAGACCAACGCTCCACTTCACATCGAGATTTCGTCCTGCACCTGCTGCCCTTCTAGCCATCCAATCTGGGTGCAGACTTGAGCACTGATACACAACGAAGGAGTAATGGCTTTGAAAATGCTAAATTAACCTGAATTTCTAGAAAGGCACCCAGGCAAACAGAAGCAGTACAAAGGCTCATTCATAGCTTTGAAACACGGGAGGCCTAGTTAGAGCATCTGTTTGAACTGGGGATGATGAGTAAGATTGAATAAGCACTTCTTTTTCCAGCTGTATACTTTTCAAAACAGAGACAGCAACAGCTCTGCTGACTCCCCAGAAAATGATTCAGCAATGCATTTTCACACCTATGGTAATTAAATCACTGGCACTGAATTTCACTCTACATGAGTTTACTGAGCACTCCTTGCCAGTACTATAAAAAGTAAAAGTTAGTTCCCTGCCTACCTTTCCAAACTATATTAACTTGAGTTCACAAACCTCCCAGCACATACAGAACAGTTCAATCACCACCTTATTCAATCACCACCTTACAGCCAGTTCTTACATTTCTCTGAGTCCCAACGGAAAAATCACTATATGAATCTGGTTAATTGCTGGAATTCCAGCAATTAACAGGCATGTTAACAAACAATTTTGTCATATCACATCAAAATACAGCCAGGGAGCCTATAGTTCTTTTCTCCCCACAAATGGAGATGTCTTGCACATATTCACTGTTAGAAATAAGCAGAATTTAATATCCTTAAAAAATGAGATGAATTAACAAAGAAAGTCTAATCGGACAGTCAAGCTTAAGTAATTTCAACCTCTTATTACCTATGTACAGAAAGAGATCATGTTTTATAGCCCACTGCTTTCGAGGCTTAATATTAGGACTGACTTAAATCTTGTCATGCTCCTTTTCGCGAAAAAGAAAAAGGTGCTGCTTTGTTTGAAAACACAACCCAATTACACTAATGATTCAAACAAACATCAAGCTTTACTGAAGGACACATTCAGATATGGTGAAGAAAACTCTTTTTGCTGTTACAGTATGAAGTTACTTAGCTGTATAGCAAGCTTTTTCCATTTATACTAAATAGACCTAAATGAATATTAATGTTTAAAGTGATTAGCTTTTATTGTGTTGATGTCTGGACAGCGACAACAAGAGATGTGCAGTAACACTCCACAAACTCTCCTTAAAGGATGGGACATTACTAGAGTAACACTGGGAAACTTTACATTTCTTTCTATATTACTAAATACGCACAATGGATCAAAAATTGCAAATCTTCAAGACAATCATCTCAGCATTATTTTATACTCTGGAATCACTTAAACAAGCACATGAAAAGAAGTTTCTCCAGTAAAGCCACCCCAAAACCTTGGGAAAACCCAAGTATTGCATTCAAAATGGCAATACCTGCAATACACTCTGGAGCAAACCTCACATTGGCTCAAAGCTTCAGTCTCCTTCCTAATCAAAGTTGCAGCAACCAGACATCCCATTTGGGAGAAGCTGCAAATTGACTCAGGACTGTGTAAGTAGTTTGGCTGTCTGCAGATATAACAGATTACTTCTTTCTTCTTCAAAAAGAAGATCAGTCAAGAAGTCCCTCACATTTATTATTAAAGCAACCTAAACGATTCTAGCAAGAAAGTCTATCCCTTTTGGCAGAGATCAAAAGGTAAGGCAACCAAAGAAACACCTGATACCACCTTAGAAATAACAGTCCATCATAAGAGTTAAACAAACTCAACTTCAAGTCAGCCTACTTAATCTATCTCATGTTAATTTTTTTTAATCTTAGTTCTACAAGCTTTGAATCACTGTTAAAAACTATTAACAATATCCATAGTAAATCAACACAAATACTCAAAGAAACAGCTGATATTTATGTCACCTAAACTTTAAGCTTGCATGAATAATAAGCATACATTACACTAATAATGTACTAAAGGAATATATAAAATATAATGTAAAAGGGCAAGAAACAGGCACAGGCATCATGCAACTGCCAGAAAACTGCTGCGAAACAGGGCCTTTCCCCAAAAAAATCCCAGATACTGCAAGTTTTTAAACAAACAGACTCCTGGCAATTCTGTTTCTTACTAGATTGACTGTTTACAAATAAATAATACTAAAAAATAAACATATACCACCTTAGCTATTTTCTTTCAGTGACATCACTTCTGCTAATAAGCCTCCCTTCTGCACTATAATTTTGTTGGGGCCACAACTTGATTTTGAGAGCAATTAAATCAAATTACTTTAAGGAATGACATCACTGTAATGCAGTTGTAAACAACACATACAGCTCAGTTTTAAGCCAAGTATTACCTGCACTGTGTGGAACAGGAAAGTGTTCATATGTAATTACGGATTTTTAAGATTATATTCCTCAGAGTTTTGAAATCTTTTACATTAGAATACCCCAAAAGTATAAATAAGGACTTTTGCTATTTTCTAAAGTTAATTGACATCTGAGGAAAAGATCTCTCTGATATCTCCAGGACCTCTCAAGAAATCTGCTTGTCAATTCCTGATCCCATAAAACTTCCGTAACTACTACACCAAAGCCATTCATAAATCAACACTACAGAGGAAACACACAGTTTAGGAATAGCACTGGCACTCAGCAGGGCATAGTAATACAAATCAGATAATTGATTTTTTTTAATATATCACAAAAATTAAGATACATATTGGAAATGATTCCTAGAATAATTGTGATTGTGAGTGGAAGGAGATTTACTATATGCGCATCTGACAGTTCTGCTTTTTTATTGCTGGCATGTGACCATCTCCCTCCCTGCAAAAAGAGTTATTTTCTCTTTCCCCATCCCCCCACAACAAATTCTGTTTTTCAGTTTCCCATTGGCTCCCTACAGACAGAAATAATTTATAAAAATGTATCACTTTTAGACTTGTTTAGCAGATTTGCCTATTGGAAAAGTTATCACTGGGCAGTTACCTGTTATTTTGATTTTCATGAGCAGTGGCAGAGAATCCTCCCTCCCCTCCACCCCCACACACCCACCCACCCCATAACCTTACAACTGGTGAGCTCCAATTCTGAATTTCTGTATTTTTAAGCAGCTTTATAATCAACTTACCCTCTTTTCCTTTGAACCTTTCCTGATCATATCTGTTGTACGCAGCTGGAATAGGTTGCTTATTTCGTAAAGTGGGATCCTAAAACAAGTTAAATGAAAATTTGTAAAACATTCAGAAAGTTATTTAGTGGTTTTTGAACTTCTTAGAAGTATACATACAACTGCTTAGAGTAGGAAAAAAATCTGTTAACTTATCTGAGACTTTCAACACATTTGAAATTCCTGATGTGTTTCATTTTAGCATCCACTTTTTTAAAAGGACAGGAATGACAAAAAATAAGGCAAAACTGAAGGGGAAATAATGAACAACATGAGGCTGAATCTGTCAGTTTCTGTGAAAACACTGAACTTTTGTAATAACTCAAGAACCAGAAAAGACACTGACAACATGAGAGGGTAAAGCCCTCAGCCACACACATGCAATGCTGCTTGCAAACCAGATTATGCTAAAAATCTGTTAGACCTAGAGAATGAACACATTTTTGGAAGAAAAGAGGCATGCTGGAAAAAGGTTAAAGACTGCGCCCATCTAGCAGCACACTAAATAGCAATTCATTCTTTATCCGTGAATGGCTTGGTTACATAGTCACAATTATTGCAAATTTGAACATTTGACTAGTCCCATGTACAATTTAAATATTTGCTTTGTGTTGAATTTCATAAGTGCTGAAATCCATCTTGCTGTTTAAAGTTAGTTCTTTGTTAAATGCAATGGTATCAAAAATAAATCCAGGATTAAATAGCTTTCACAGCAGACTGCCACTGAGTTCACAGAATATATTAAGTTTTATAAAGCCCAATAGTAAATATCACAATACAAACCAATAGCTGTCTAAAACTCAGATAGGCTTAAACAATAAAACTGTAAATCTGCCTTCCTGATTTATCACAGGCCAAAGAAATTTAGTTCAAGCTGTTCCCACTCATGAGTCATGTTCCAGATTCCTAAACATTTGCTACCCTGTCAAAGAAAAACAAAAAAAAGAAAAAAGAACACCCTGCAAAATATGGTTTGAAGTGGCAACAGTCTCATTTAATATATATATACATATATATGTGTATTTTTTTCCAAATAGCTACAGAATGTAGCTACTGCCTTGTACATGTGGAAGCTGGCACTAACAGTTTAATCTCCAAATAACAAGAACATATTGAACAAATTGAATTGATAGATTGAACTCTCTAAATATCAAAAAATGTAACTTAAGGCAAAGAGTATCTGTGAAGTTATGCTTGGTAGTTACTTTTTCACTGGTCTCTGAACTTTGTAACAAGAGGACACTTCACACTTTCACTCTGGGAGCCCCAAACATCATATTCCAAGCGCTGCTCCTACCGTGGGTGCTGTGTTTGGTGCCGGTCTCTGCTCAGGTGCACGGCCTTCCTCTCTGGCTTTTACTGACTGAAGAATTGCAAAAATATTCTTGGCAAAGTTCTGAAAAACAAGGCAAGTATCTATAAACCTTGCTGGTTGTGTTTTCAATAACATTTAGCTAGTGCTTCACAGGAAAACAACACAGGTTTAGTAAATAGTAAATATTTTTCACAGTGACAGCCTCCCAACATAACAAGCTCTTTCAAGCTGCACTTGCATCCCCTATTTTAAGCTATAAATACTCGAAAAAACTTCCGAATCTGACTGTAGCTTCATTAAAGCAGAAGCTAAATGAAACTTTTCACAGCCTGATGAAAATGCAGACATTGTGAATACAGCCCCTCTATCCCCTCTTGCCAGCCACTCCTTGGCAGCTCCCTCAGAGCTCTGCCACCTGTAGCACATGCTGCTGCTTGCAGAAACGTTAAGGAAAAAAAATTCTTGTTTTATGAATACTTTTCTACTCTTCTATACCAATATTTAAATTCTTTCAGAGTACTCTGCACTAACACTGATGTGGAATTAACACTGCTGGCGTTACAAAACGCACGCAAAAGTTATAAAACAAAAGCTTCCAGTGTGAATTTTGTAGGACTTACAAAGCTGCTGGTTGCTAACACGCTGTCAGGCAGCCCCGAGATGCAGGGGCTGAAAGAGCATCAAAAACGACTGAGGAAGGCAAAGCCCTTCCATGCACAGAAGCAGGGCTGCCCACAAAGCCTTAAAGAACTGTCTCAAAATTGTGTTTGAAGTTCTTTCCAGCTACAGAAATCTTCGGGGGGGAAAAAAGAAGAAAAAAAATAATAAAGAGCTGTGAGGCATGCACATATCAGATATAGAAGAACACTCAAATTCAAGTCTGTTCTTCGAAAAATGAGCCGAGCGGGCGGCTTTCATGGGAAATTCACAGATTCCTCCTGACCCCGGGCAGGGGCAACGCATCAATCACAGGAGCCGCTGCCGCGCTTCAGCACAGGCTGCTTCGCCAAAATGACAAACTACTGGGTCTTGAGAAATTCGGGAGGGGGAAGCCAATTAATATAAGGAAGAATTTACAAGGGTGACAGTCCACGTAGGGGCCAAGGCTTCTTTTAGTCTCAACAAAACTACAACTAGCTTTCACTTTCTTAATCCACTCATAAAACCTATATTCAACCTACACAAAATCAGTCTTCCATTTTAAATTTTGGAGTTTTCAAAGGCACATAAGCATCTCTGCCTTTGGTAACCTGAAACTGCATGTTCTGAACCAAGTTTCAGCTTATTCCAGCTAAAAAAAAAACGAACCCTCCTAGACCACTGAGAAGACATTAATAAGCCTGGAATTACAATGTGTTCC